GAGACGCGCGATCCGGACGGCCGCGAGCGCAAGCGAGAGGTAACGAACGAAGAGAGAGATCTCTAAAGCCGATCGAACGACGGTAGAAACACCATCACGTCGTGGGAGAAACGTCGGGAGGAGAAGCGTCGGGAAGGAGATCGAATGAGTGGCTGCCATTGCCGCGCGCGAGAGTCGGTAAGGGCGATTACGATTATTGATCTTCCATTCTTCCCAACGGCGGGAAATGCGAGCCCTGCCCAGCTCGCCTCCCTCCCCCGCGAAAAAAATAGACTGTCGTAACGAATAGTCGTACATACATTGTAAAAGTTACAACAATATTACAGTGGCCGGGTAATTTCAAAGTTCACTATTGCAAAGGTGTATATTTAGATATACTTGAAGTAAAATCACTATCAATTTACAAATAAAATTATTCTTCTTTAGTAATAACTAAAAGAATTTGCAAAAAAAATATATTCTAATGAAATTAAGTTTATAGAAATATTTAGATATATTAATTCATCAATTAATTACATACAATTTTTCTTAAGCCATGTTATCATAGTATGTGAAGTATACAAATACAAAAATGTGAATATGATATGTATGATAATTACCATTATGTTATATAATGTTACAAAAATATGCATACATTTTATAAATTTTCGTTTAATATGAAAGTATATTTATACGATTAGATGTAAAAGTCCTAATTTTTGTAAGAACACACAATTTTATATATTTCCACTGTAATTATGTAGGTAATTTTTACATACATTATTTAAGAAATTTCATATATTTACAGTGTATGTATCGTATCTTTCTCGTTATACGCCTCTTCGGCAGGAAGAACCGCCGTGGAAAATGAAGGAGGCATGTGATGTGCACCGCCCGCTGCATTCACCTTCTCGATCAGCCGGAGCGATACGTATCGACGGATAGACCGAGCTCTGCATTTAAATCCGTATATCTTCATGTAGCTTATTATGAATTTGAAAACGGCTTCACCTAAATTGGCTTAAGCGGCAATTAATTCTGCTAATAGAATTAATCATCAAACTAAAATTCGATTCAAATGTCGTCTTTATATTTATTTCCACTAATATAGATTAAGTTTAATTTATTTTTTTTTCTAATGTTTAGAAAAAGATAAAAAGTAAGTAAATAAATTAAATAAATTATAGTTAATTGACATTAAATAAATTAATCTAAATTGGTAGAAATGTAACTAATTAGCAGAAAGATTAAAAGTATCGATAGACCGATAGACGATAGACGGATAGACCGAGCTCTGCATCTAAATCCGCTTTATGTGGAGCACAGCTCGTTATCGATTTGGAAACGGCTTTATGTGAATTAGCTTAATCGGCAACTAATTCACCCAGCAAACTCGAATTATCGTTCCTTTTGATTTTTCTGATACATGTATCTCTCGTTGACAATGGACACATTTCCGTTATTTTTATTGTCAATGAGGGACAAAAGGAACGATTATTCAAGTTTGCTGGATGAATTAATTGCCGATTAAGTTAATGCAGGTGAACCCGTTTCCATATCGATAATGAGGGAGCTACGACTCACGTAAAGCGGATTTAAAGAGCTCAATTGCAGAGCTCGGTCCGTCGATATACGTACTTTTAATCTTTCTGAATATATGTAACCTTCGTTGACAATTGAAACAATAGAGGGGATACATATATCAGAAAGATCAAAAGGATAATTCAAATGTTTAACAGTCTAATGTTTATTTCTATCAATTTAGATTAATTTATTTAATGTCAAGTAACTATAATTTATTTAACTTATCTTTTTCTAAACATTATAAAAAGATAAAGAATAAATTAAACTTAATCTATATTAGTGGAAATAAATGTAAGATTTGAATCGAATTTTAGTTCGGCATTAATTCTATTAGCAGAATTAATATTGAAACTATTTGTCTATTTTTTCACATATTAAACAAAAGAATTAAAATAATTCTGTTAATAAAATAATACAGGTACCATTGAATAAAATAATTACCGATTAAAATCAAACGAAATTCGTTAATCAGAGTTATCTCTAAATATTCGGATTATAAATAATATGTCCAAAATCGATGAATCTTTTTCCATACAAGATGAAGATAACAAAATAGATATTAATAATTTTATTCATATTAATACAGATATTAGTTAATATAAATTAAGAGATAGCACAGATAGTGCTTAATATAATTAAAATAGATATTACTTAATAAATTAATCATTGATTATAAATTAATTAAAATTTGATCAAAATTGTAATAAAGTAATTGAAAATTAGTGATCGCCGATATCAAATTATTCGATTCTCGTGTTGTATCATTAAAGGACACACTCTGTCGAAACTGCTAAACGTAGATTATTATCACCAGAAGTACGACACCGATAATCAAAATTAGCGGATTCTACTTTTGATACATATTTTTATGAAATCGTCAATGCGTAATTTTCAATACAGGAACAACATAAAAAAAAATACTTTTCCGAGAGATTTATGATTTTGCAAGATTTTAACGTATGTTTTTTTTTAAGTTTGAAACGCCACTGTCATGAAATTACGCTGCATACGAGAGGGTTAGATTCGGAATAGCAGCACGATTGCTTGCAGACACGGATCTTTTTCCCGAGACGGTAATGTAGAAATCGAAGTGGTACGAATAGCTGACCGTGGAAGTTGCTAGCAACTGAACACTGTGATTTCATTAGTAACTCTCATGTAATATCATAGGATAATAAATAATATCGAATAATAATCAATTATACAATCAGCTCAATAAGAAGTAAAGCATTGAGGAAATTGAGCAAATATTACATGCATGACTCTTTATAATAACTCAAAATTACTTTTCTTTGAATTCTGATTAATTGATAATCAAACTTTTCAAACTGTACCTATATTTGGACAGAGTTATTAATTTTTCTGTTGTTTTGCATTAAAAAAATATTAGATTAGGAAAATAAAATTAAATAAAAAAATTTGTTTTAAGCAATTCGCTGATTAAGTTAATCAGAAGTTAATTTAATCAAAGTCGCTCTGAGAATAGTAATATTAGAATTATTTTATATTAAAAAATTTTAGCGTTAAAATTATTTTGAAGGCCATCAATAATCAAACTCTCAACTCCTTTATTAACTTAATTGATCAATTTTTATATATCAAATCATTTTATTAATAAAGAGTTATTAATCTTTTATTGTTTAATACATAGAAAAATTAGAGACTACAAATTATATGTATAGTTCAAAATTTTACTTTATGTAATTTTGCTTGTAATCGATTTGATCGAAGTTGCTTTCCCAGTATTTTCAAGCGAAAACACTCGTTGTGAACACCTGTTTCCGGAGATGAAACTTAAAATATCTTTGGATATATAAATGGATGTTTCAATAAGCAATGAGAAGTACAAAGCAAAACTTTATTCATCTTTTGTACATATTTTCTTAAGAATTCACTCTTTTTTTCTCTCTGCCTCTCTTTCTTCAGTTTAATAAATATTCAATTAAGTAATTTTGTAAGATTAATATTTCTCTCTCTCTCTCTCTCTCTCTCTCTCTCTCTCTCTCTCTCTCTCTCTCTTCAAAGAAATACTAAATTCACAAAATATTATTAAATTCACAATTTTTTATTTTTTATTTTTTAAAAGACACATTTTAATTAATAATTTTATCTTTTATTATAATAAGTTTATTAATTCATTAATCCTTTGGGATATTTTTATATCTATCAAGTTTACTTCAAGAAATTCTTATTTATCATCAATGAATTTCAAATTATGGATAAATATCATGTAACATAATATTTGTCTATTGATAAACATAGATTATCTTCTGATAGTTGTTATAATACAACCACTCTAATTTCAGCGTCTTTCAATGGCAATGTCAGAGAACGTCGAGAGCTAAACATCATGGGAATCGTATCGCATTTCGCTCCAGAACAGACCGGAACAAATCATGGAAACAAAAGCACGATGCCACTTCAAACTTTATTTTCGTTTACATTAGCAGAGGGATACGAGTTACACAAAGCGTAGAATTTACCGGCTGCGAATGCTGGTAATTGTCCGCGGCGTAACACTCGACAATGTTATGCGCCAGACATTCGACGAATGTAACTTTTCGGAGTTATCGAATGTGGATATTACATTGATACATAATCCGTTCCTTTTCTCCTGTTCTTCATTAAACCACAAGATAAGAAACGCTATCACTAAGATAATTATTAAATATAGATCTTCCATTTTAATTAATAAAAAATTGTTAGACGTCTCCGCAACGGATTAGAGAATTATTATTTTTTAAATTTAATATATACAGAAAAAAATTAGAGACAATGAATTAGATAATTAAAATTTTTAATTATATAATTGAAAATGCCACTTAAAGCTCTCAAACTTGTAAACATCATTTGTTCTTGTTTATAATATTTGATGAATAAAATAAAAAGGATGAAATCATTCTTACAATTAGAGCGTCAAATATCTTAAATTTTGTAATAATTTTCCATATAATATTAGTAATAAATTATTATTTATAATATTGTTAATAACTTTTAAGTTAAAAATTATTAATAACATTGTATAATAATATTTTATTAACATAACACACATCTATATAGAATCAAATTATCAATATCTTTAAAAAAACTGCTGTGATTCTAAACTATGAAATCTGTTGTCAAGTTTTTAGTTTTATCTGCGCATAAAATATATAAAAAGTTGGCGCAATTTTATTACTTGCGAAAGTGCTCAATTGTTTATGAAAGAACAAAAGAGAGAGAAAAGTTCTTTAAATTCTTTTCTCGTGATATGTTTTTACTAAAAATAAATCATCGCCGATCGGCAGTGGTGTTTCTGCTAATCGAGATTACGTAGATCACTTATGTTAGACGAAATTTTTGGAAACAACACGCGGATGAGAGTTTTCCTGATTGCCAGGAAATCCGCCGAATACCATGAGCATCGAAGAGGGAGAGAAACAGAGCATCTCGGGAGTCGAAAATAACTGCAGCGGAGGAAGGTGTCGAGGGGACCGTCCACGATTTCGGCGGTTCCGGGTGAGGGAGGGGACCGACGACAGTTATCTTCTGCTGCTCTCCGGTGCTTTCGCTTTTCCGAGGGTCCAGTGTGTTTCGCCACCCGAGGAGAACCCGCGTGCTCCACGTAAAACAGCGCGAAGGTAGGTGCCGCGTTCTTGTATCATGCGTTGAAATCTCTATCATCGATCGCGTTCCGCGGAAAATGAGGATACGAGGAGATCAGGTGAGACAGAAAACCGAGGAATAAATGAAGGAGATAGAAACGGAGGCGTAAGAAAGAGAATGCAGGTGGAATGCAGAGGGAAGTGAAAAATTCATAAGAAAATGTGAGAGAAACGTGAGTGGAAAAAAACAATTAAATGAAGAAATTCAAAAATGTGAAAAATTGAGGATCAAAAAGTAAATAGAAAATCTAGCCTACAATTACAGTTTGGGAAAAAAATTCAGTGATAAATTCTTGCATTCTTTTCCTTCGCATTAGAGATCGATCCATCGATCCAATCTTTCTTTCTATTATTGGCAACGTAATTGACAAAATGAATGTCGTATTCAATTACCGCATTTAATACCGCTTAATTGTCATGAGAAACTAGGCCAAGCCGTCGTTGCTATCAATTACAATTAACGAGGACGATCACTTCTTCTAATAATGATCTACAATAAGATTGATTTAATTGCTGATTCCTTTTTCTTCTTCAGTTCTTCGGCAAACTGCACAATTTATGATTCTAATCAGCATAAAGTATTCAAATAAAATCAGGAAAATTTAATTTCTATTCTACTTTGCACGTAAATTATATCTTCATATATAAATCTTCGTATAATTAAATTGTAAAATCGAGCAGCACGTTATAAACAATAGTAAATGAAGTGTAAAGCACAATAATTATTTATATCACGAAGAAATCATTTATATCATTATAGTCATTCTCGAATTAAACTACGTGTGAATTAGCGAGGCATATTGTTTGTAGAGTCCAGTCAAAAAATGTGTGTCCCGTCAATACGTATCTCGTCAGTACGCTGTGACTTGCAAATGAGGTGGTGATTGAAATTTACACGACAACGCTCTCTCAGCGCGCCGCCCCGTCTATTCACACCGCTCTTTAAACCGTCGCGAATGAATCCGTCACAACACATCGCGAACGGCCAAAAGTTGTTTTGAACGCAACTGTATCGTTGAAACAATCGGCCAAAAATAGACGATACGTCGTGCGTCATACTGACGAATATAATTCCGCAATGCGCAAAAATTGTCATCGTCTCTTCCATATAACACTAATTCCCAGTCCCATTGTAATATCAATATTACTACATTATATTATATCAACATAAATCAATATCAATATGCAATATCAATACAGTATATTAATTGTTGTCAACACAGAATAATTAATTAACATGAATATCTTATGTTGATAATAATATTTTGTTGATATTACATAATATTGATATTTTATAATATTGATATTGATATATATATTGATATAATAATATTAGTGTGCAGTCGATCTGCAAATCAATCCCGAAAAGGGATCATTTTAGATTTTCAGATTTTTTTTCAGATATTGTCACACGATAAACGCATACATATAAAGCGTTCTATCAATTCAGTTTTTCACAATGGGTGCATTCAGCCGATTCAACGGTTGAATGAGCGCTCGCTGTTATTGGTGTATTCTTTTAGCTTATCCAATCAAAATTTTAGATCTAGAAAAAACACACTAATAAACGAGCACTCACTCAATTATATTGAGTCCGCTGGATGCGCCCAAAATGCCTTCAAATAATATTATATTAAAATTAGCAATGCAAGTGAACATTAATACATATACATGTGTAATAATTATCGATATACAAATAGTGATAGAATGAGAAAGAGAGAGAGGGGGAGAGGGGAGAGAGAGAGAGAAAGAGAGAGAAAGAGAGTGTAAAACGGAAAGATTGGGGGAGAATGTAAAAGAAAGTGCAAGGAGAGAGAGAGAGAGAGAGAGAGAGAGAGAGAGAGAGAATGAGAAAAGCCGAGAAAAAATGGAGGAGATCGAATAAAATGAGCTGCCATCGCATCGCCTGCGCTGCATGCACGAGGATCATAAGGGCAATTATGAGTTATTGATCCTTCAGTCTTCCCAACATGCAACGTGGGAAATGCGAGCCCAGCCTCCTTTAGGACAGGAGAAGGGAAGAGAATACGACAGAAAAAAAAAGAGAAAGGGAAAGAGGGAAGCAATTGATTTTTATTTTTTTATTTTTATGTATCATTAAGTACTCAATAATACAATTTATTATTGTTATTATTTTTTCTCTTTTTAGAAGATTTAAATTCTATATTATTAGTTTTCAAAAATTTACAAGAAGTAGTGAAATAGTCCCTAAAAAAAATATATGCCAAGTGCATAAAAAAGCTGTCGAATATTACATTCTTCTTAATCAAAAACAGATATGAAATAAATGCAATTAGTCCAGTATTTTATCACGCAAGACACATAAGATAGACTGAAAGTGATTAAAATGGTCAACTGGATTATAGAAATGGATGAAAGAAAAATTCTGCGTGCCCGGATAACATTAATTGCACTTCTGTAAATATCTCAACAGTATTTGCATTATGAAAATATAAAAATAATAGAAATATGTATATCAATATAATGTGTACAGTATGTAGTATGTATGTAGTGACATAATTTGTGAGACATGAAGATATATTATACTTACAAATAATAGGCGTAATATAAATTTATATGGAGAAATAATGAAGTAATATATAATATAATAATACTTAGATATGGAAACATTATAAGTAACTAATTTAAAAAAATAAGCAGTTATTAACACTTCTTTTTATTAATTCATATTGCAAATAATTTCACTATGAAAAATATTGATCTTAAAATATTTGCTTAAAATATTATGCATTTTAATGTGATCCGAGCATATCAAATTTTTTTTTTCACTATAATCCAGTTGACCATTTTAGTCATTTTCAATCTATCTTACATGTCTATAATATTATATCATTTGCTTTGTTCAGCTAAGCCTTTCAATTGCATCTTAAAAAATCATACAACATTGTCGTATTTATTTAGCGGTCAAATATCGGCGCTTATTGATAATGCTCGCTCTTCTATGATAATCGAGAATCTCAAGAAATCTGTATTATTATTATATCGCATATTAATGTTATATTAATGTTATACGATTTTTTTTTTTATGAAATCTGCCGCGGTGTACGTAAAATAGTCGAAGTGGATTTCGACGCGGCCGAGCAAACGCCGTCATCCAAATGCCGCAGCTTGGAATAGATGCGAGTTATGTAAAGGAAACCGGCCGGTCCCCGTGGATTCCAACAGACAACGAAAACTATCCCCGTGCATTTTCACGGATTTTCGAAAGAAAACTTCAAGCATTCGACCAGCTTGCACCGTTATTATATAAATTTAAATCTTTTGACATCCCAATATTTAGTGATTTAATCTTTAAAACTGCAGATTTTATACTTAGAAAAAGATCTGGTTAAAAATGGACAAATTAAAAAGTTATATCAATCAAAATTCTAATTATCTCAACTAGAATTTAGTAGATTTAACTAGAAAATTTTAATTCGCCCATTTTCAATCAGAATCATTTTCTAACTAGATATGTTTTTCATGGTCGTTTCTCTCTATCAATAGAATTTAATATTAATCTTGGTTTAATTAACTCTTTGTTTTTCCCTAGTTCTAAAAATTAGAAAAATGGTTCAACTAGATTTTGTATTTATTTTAAATTATACATATCTTCACACCATTTCAATCAATTTGTGAACGACGGCTTTAATTTACACCAAAATGCATACTGAGTGCGTCTCTAATCAAATTTCCTGTTATTATTTATCTTTTTCTAATTCTTAGAATTCGAAATCGATTAGGATTGAATATTAAAGTTTATCTCGACGAAAGATAAGATCAATCCTTCAGTATTTATTTCAAAGTTCACGTAATAATTTATGTGATTCTTATTATTAACAAGAAAACATTGCGAGGAATTCGTCAACAACCTCGGCATTGAACGACAGCGCCGGTTGACACATACTATTGTTAGATCGACATCGATGCCGGTCGTTTTTTTATCGCGGCGTACGAACTTTAATGTAATTCAATACGACTCACGAGGAATGGGCTCCAAAGACTAACTGGTGTAGGAGGGGGGAGAAGTAGAGATTTTGCGGACGATGTAGATATATTCGGAGGAATTTTGTAGGCAAAAATAACCGCGGTAGGCACCGGTGGCCGCCCAACAGGGACGCGTCAGCGAGAATCCGAGGTTTTCTGGTATTAAACTAGGTCTGTGTAATCAAATCAGTAAAGAAAGAAATTTTATTTATTATTCAGTTTTTGAAGATTTATTTTTTTTTAATTAAATAAAATATGATGTAATTGTTGTTGAAATAGTAAACAAGCGTTCTTAGAAATTTTTTAAGATTAAATTTAATTGACGATAATATGGATGAACATTTATTGTCTTTAGAAATGTTAAACGTATATAAGAATAACAATATAATATAACGTGTTGTTTTGAAAATTTATTGCCGCGGGTTGATTTTGTGGCATAAAAGTGTCTTACAATTAAATTATATGAGATTCTCAGTGGAAAGGGAGAAACATGAGAACTTTCGATTAGGAGATATAAATACGTTCCAAGTTATGAATAAAATGTGAAACGCGTATGAGATCACAAATAAAATGCAATAAAAATAGATCATTGCAATTCCTGGAGGAGAAGCATTTAATGAAGTGTATTCGATTTGTTTCTTCAAGAGAAAAAATAAGATGTTTAGCAAATATCGAGTATCAAACTCTTGTTCAGCCCTCTCCCTCATCATGCCGAAATAAAAAAACGCTCAGAAAAAAATAGTTCAGAATTTGGAGCAATTTATGAGCTTCCAAACCCTGCAAAAAAAATTTTGTCCCAGTTAGCAGGAATCTTAATTTAAAAGTGGAGAGAAGGAGGTGAATGTCCACTCAGTTCCCCCTCCCCTTAAAATAAACAATAGGAAATCGCTCCTAAGCTCAGAATTTAGGAGCTCTTTGTGAGCTCTTAAATCAATACTTTTTCGATTTTCGAGATCCATCCCTTATCCCCAAAACTAGTCTATACTCAAGAGGTAAGTCAATGAAAATAGGACTGTACCTAAAACTTCATTAATGAATATAATTCTGGCATAAATCTGGTGCAAAAATATATAATCCTTAATTTTTTAGCTGCCCTTTAGCAGAAAAATCATCCATTGTCCTTTTTACGCAAGAGAGAATTATGTTTATTTTTCCCTTCTGGAACATAATTTTCTCTTGCAAGAAATGTGAATGGGATGGTTTGGGGGCAGTTAAGGGATTGTAGCTCAAAAATCGGTTCGTACGTATTTCGAAATCTATTATATATGCATATAATGTTTCATCATTAAATGATTTATTTTTTTCATACTGCATCATAGTTCTCTCTTGCATTAAGAGAGCAAGCAGTGATTTTTCTGCTAAAAGATTACAGTTCAAAAATCGATTCGTGCGTATTTCGCTAGCTCCTATATCAGTGAATGTATTCCCATCATTAAATGATTATTTTCCCCTTCTGGAACATAGTTATCTTTTACGAAGAATGAGTATGAGATGATTTTCCTTCTAAAGGATAACAGCTAAAAAATTGATTCATTCGTATTTCTCGAGCTCCTAAATTAGCAGATAATTTCATAAAACGATTTATTTTTTCATACTGAAACATAATTCTCTCTTGCGTGAATAGAGCATGGGGTGGTTTTCCTGGTAAAGGGTGTAGCTCGAAAATCGATTCATTCGTATTTCGCGAGCTCGTAAATCAACAGATATATTCCCATCATATAAAACGATTTATTTTCTTATATTGGAACATAATTCTCTCTTGCGTGAAAAATGTGTGGAGTGGTTTCTCTATTAAGAAGTTGCTGATCGAAAATCGATTTCTTCGTATTTCGAAAGCTCTTGTATAAGCAGGTTTTCTATCATTTTCTATCATTAAATGACTTATTTTTTCATTCTAGAACATATTTCTCCCCCCCCTCATATTTAAATTAAGATTCCTTCTAACCTGGACAAGCTCAAAAAAATTTTTTTACTGGGTTTGAAAGCTCATAAATTGCTCCAAATTCTGAGCTATGCGTTTTTTTATTTCGGGAGGGGGGAGGGGATCTCGTCAAGGGTGTATATCAAGGTAGTAATAGGCGTCATAGTTCCGTTTTTAAGCGTTCGCAATCTCGATAAATTTGGGAAACCTTGAAGAAAAATTTTGTCATGATGGTTCCTAAGAATCGGGAACTATTCAAATATCTCTCTGAATGCTTTCTCTAACGATGCTCGAAAAATTTCCCACAAACGCCTACAAAGTTATTAACACTTTTACACTAAAAAAATTTCTAGTTGAAAATCTAGTTGAACGAATCAAAATATTATAATGATATTAAAATTTTATAATTATCTTAATTAGAAATATAATTAGAGACCAATGAAAGTCCCTAATCATAGTTTATATGCAGGATAGTTTTAAGAAATATCTGCGAGAGAGGACATACATTTTTCATGTTTTTTATCTATTTCTTTTTCTCCTTCTCTTTCTCAGGAATTGTTAAAACATGGCCAATTCAAAAGTGGCTCTCTCATATCCAAACTCTTATTAAAGGATCTCTAATTATAATAGATTTAATCAGAAAATTCGAATCTGTGTGTATCCATTTTCAACCCGAATTCCAATGCAGATTCTTTTTTCATTGTAATATGATCTTCGCGTTTTCACTCTAGATTTCCCGGCTTTAAGAATTTCCCGACATTAAGGATCTTAAAGTCATTTGTGTATTTTACTGATTATTTTTCAAATAAATATTTTTCTAACTCTCTTTAATCTCTTTCCACAAATATAACAGTATATAGTCCAATCCGTGTTTAACTTTATGCCGAAAGTGAGAAAGAGTTGGAAAATTACAGTTTAATGTTATCTTTTAGCATCGCTTCATAATAATAATTGCTTATTTGTACACAACGTTATACTTTAAATTAATATACATAGTCAACATTCTATGCTATTTATAATTGTAATAACTACATAATTTAACGTACATAAATTTTACATATAACTTGTATAATTGTCACTATTATGTCCTTTTCTCTGAGTGTAAATCATGGACAAGAAATATTTTATTTTTTCCTCCTTTGTTTAAACGTGCGATATCTTTCAATGCGTGCGTCCCTGCATGAATTTCTTGGCACGAGACCGGGAATTTAATGCCACGCTTTCTATTAGACTACAGAATCCGTTGACGGTATCGATTGCATCTCACGGAATTGAGTAGCCAAACAATCGCTGAATGATCATTGAATGATCATAGGAAATGATAGCTCGTGACCCACTTACTAAAATTGCTTTCACTCTTTAGCTTCGCACGATTTATGATCGAATTAGAATATATATGAAGCAAAGAAGTGCATCGTTCGTCACGTGAATTCGTTGCTATCGCATCAAATTAATGATTATAATTCTTTATGACGACTTATTAAATAGTTCTATTTATGGTTTAACGTTGTTGACAACTTTCGCCGAAAAAAATCTAACGTCAAACATAGACTCTCTTTCCATTTTCTGTATATTTAATTTTTATGTTATTATTAAATAAATACTAGTATCTTATAATTAATAAAAAAAAAAATTATTTTTTATATTAGACATTAAATTATTTAAATATTAGAACTTAGACGTCTAAAATGTTAAGCACCTTACATTTTTTTACATACATAATTACGTACATAATTTTTTTTCTACAATGTTTTTTATGTTACAGTATAAACTCGAGAGTAAACTGATTAAAGCCACATCAACATGGCCACGCAGAAAGCGAAATTTGTAAACAAACAGTTCAACTCTCCTATCAACTTGTATTCACCACAAGCGATACAGGAAACTCTAGATAGACAGACTCAAGTTCTGGCTAACGGTGCAGTCGGGTAAGTTGTATCAAATAAAAAAGAGAAATAACTCAACAAAAGTATTTGTTGAGTAGTAACTAAATAAAACAGTAGAAATAGAATAAATAAAATAAAAATTCACATTTACAAATGAATTTTTACAATACAATAGAGCTCCGTTTATCTGAACATGTCAAGGAACAAGATAATTCTGATAATAATCGAATAGTTCGAATAATATAAACTCACTTATTTTTTTCTCTACCAGTACTTATTAGTTCCAATAATAACAGCTGACGTTTAGAAATCTAAAATCGAACACGTTGAGCTCCTATTATTCAATCTATAGCATCATAAAAGCTCAGCTATAAGTGCGTATATTTAGAATTGAGCACAAACTTGTTCGTAAATGAAATGCAGATAAATGAAGTTCTATTCTGTAATAGCAATCAACATAATAGCTTTCCAATAATGAACATATTATCGTTGATTTGTAATACCTGTCGAATGAATATTTATCTTTTTAAATATTTTCCAATAATCATTACCAGTTTTGTAAGAAAATTCGTACTATTTTATTTATTTTAGTCTATAAAAGTCTTATAATAGAGTCTAACCACTAATAATTTTGTTGAAATCTCACGAGAGAAGAAGGTATGGTATATACTCATTTTAACTTATACTGTCTCACTATATCATTTTAATTAATATTAAAGGGTGAGACTCTTATAAGTTAGAATGAGTGGTATGGCAATAAAATTTGGCAATAAATATTTTTGAAAACACTATCTAATTAACATAAATGACCTTTATCCTCCCTAGAGGTAATACATTTCCGACAACGTTCATACAGCTTGCGGAGCTTTCAGAGTTTCCGTAGCTATATGAAATGTATTATCTTTAGGGGAGATTGCTTTGAAGGACAATAAAGTTTTATATATTAATTAAGTGGTGTGTTTACTTCCTCATTCGAATTTTATTGCCACGTATACGAAGACTATATATACCATTTTTTCTCATATAGGATAAAATCGCGTTCTACAGGAGTTTGTTAGATTCTTTACTTCAACTTAAATACACATCCCTTGACCTAATCTGGATCAAATTCAGATTCCACAAGTGAATCGTCAATCGACTCGAATGACTCACGAGCAAAACCGCGTGGGGAATCTGATTTAAATCCCAGCGACCACCTTGCGTCAATCATCAGCTCGTTGTCCACGTGGTGTCATGCAATCGTCTGTGTATCGGCCGATGTCAGTCGGTCACTCGATGACGCCGGTCGCATGAATCAGCCGTCGGCGTCGATTTCGTTCGCAACGTCAGTTATTTTCGGCGGACCGAATCACCGGCCGGTTGGAAATAAACGGCCTGCGCGAAACCGACGGCTTGCACCGTCGCGTCTCGTCTTCGTACTTGACTTAGTTTCGCGTTTGATGGACCGTGGACGCGTGCTGGTTCGCTTGCTGTTCCGTTCTTCTTCACCATTGTCGTTATTTCTACTATCCTTGCCACTTCAGGAGGACCTCCTGTCGAGATGATCGCTACGAAAAGGTGATCATCGATTTTTGATCCTTAAGATCTTGCAGACTTCTTCTGAATCTTCTCTTTCGTGAGCTTGAATTACCTCTTTCTTCCTCCTTTTTGCAAATTCATAGTTTTTGTAAAAAATGTTCTAATTAAATCAACAAAGGCCCCTAAATAGCATTTTAATACCGAGCAGAATTTCTGATTACAATAATCAGAAATTCTGTTTGTTCTCATCAAAATACGTTTTGTTGAATCCTTTTGTTGGTTTAATCAGAGAATTTTGTTCAGTGTATGAAGCAAAAATTTTCCATATTTTCTTTTATTGTAAAAAATCGACTTTATATTTTATTTGTTTAAACGTCATTGTTGTCAGAATTAACATGTTTTTTTCATATAAATTTGCAGAAGAATTATAATTATAAAAAAAATTATAACACTTCATATTATTTAAGCATTAAGATAAACATAGAGTTTCATCCATAATTGTTGCAACGTTATTTTTCGAGAAGCGGAAGACAATTATTTCATTTTATTCATGGATGTTTTTGTAGCATTCGAAATATTAGGTGTAGGAAAAAGTTCGTGGCGTTTTTCCCATTAGATGGCATTAAAAAAACGCGAACTTTTTCCCACAATAATAATATTATTAACAAGCCAAGCTTAAATGTGGAAATCTCTCTTTCCAGGATCGACTTCAGTCAGTTGGCCAAGCCAGCGAACTTGCAGAACAGCGCCGTTCTACGTATGCTCGAAGAAGAAGAAACGAGGCAGCGCGGTGGTCAACCTGGTAAGTGAAGACATGTCTCTTCGAAATTTACATATTCCTAGAAAGTGTAACTTAAAATTAGGATTAGGAAGATCATAAGATTCTTTTGATGTCTATAATTTGACATCAAAAGAATGTTGTGATACTTAGACTGATATTTATGCCGACGACATTCAATGCTTGTTTTCCTATTGGAAATTGTTAGCTGGATCAGAATCTTGTCATCGTACTGATAATGTCAGCATCGCAGTTAATACGGTGACAAGAATCTAGATCAGTTAGCAATCCAGCAGGAAAGCAAGCATCATATGCCGTCAACTTTAATAGGTCGACCTGTTTCCTCGGACAAATTTGCATTCAATTTATGCACTAAAGTGTATTGTCTGAGTCTTTAGTCTTCAGAGGATCCTAAAATCATCAATTTTATGGATCCAATAAAAGTTATACACGATTTACAATTTGTCATTTGATATATCACTGTTACATCACATATTGCATACACACATACAAATATATACAAATTTTCTAACTAATCTTTCATATTAGGTATTTAAGTCTAAAAATTCAAATCTAAGAATTCAACATTATTCATGTAATTCCAAACCAAGATTGTTTTATACAAGAGAGAGATATAAAGCAAATATTATTATGAATCGATGCCAGAAGCCAATGGCTGTGTTCAACAAGAAAAGCAGTTTACTGTTGTGAAATTCTTTATAATATGATTGATTTATTTATTATGATCCAAGAGAGAGGAACTTAAGGCAAGACCAATCATATTAAAGAATTTTACAACAGTTGCAAAACTATTTTTCTATTGAGCTACGCTCAATAGAATAACAAAACTATCATTTTCCAACTATTTTTTTGGCATAAAATTGATCAGTTTAGTTTTCACATTGATACTTTAAAATTATAATAATAAGGATCAATCAAATAATAATAATGACAAGGGCTACGAGCCTATCGAATATTTAAAAATTTTAATGACATGTAATAATAATGTATTACAATAATAATAAATAACAATAATAAAAACAATAATAAAATAATACAATAATAAAAACAAACATATGTTTCGACTCCGATTGGATCATTATTAATGTTAATTGAAATTTTTTAATTTAATACAATAATAGTCAATTATTTAAAATTAGACATTAGTTATAAATCTTAACGAAATTGCAAATGTTCTTGGAATCAGAAACGCATAGTAAGATAACACAGAACAGGTCGATTTAGTAAAAATTCATTATAATAGATTCATTATAATAGAATTTTGTACTGTGACGAGTACTATTAGAAACAGTACATTTATATTTTAATTGTGTGGGCGTAGAAAAAAATTTTTAAATCTGTGTTTAATAAAATAAATATTTAAAAAATACTTATTTGAAAAATAATTGGTACAATAGACGACTTTAAATTCCCTTTAAGAACTTTAAGATGATGAGTCACTGATGTAAATATTATCAGTCGATTACCTGTTCTGGGGCAAAATCAGCTCCTTGAGTTAATGCCGCTATCGTTGGCAACACGTTTTCAATTTAGCATGACACAATCATTACTCTTTGGCTATGACTCAAAGACGAGTTCACCAGATTAGCAACGTGTTTTCGCAAAACACTCGAGCACATCCGTCCGAACACCGCGTGCGTTGTGTTCGAGAAAGGTCCTCTTTGTGAAGCATTGATTCATCGCCCAAAAGTTGTCTTCAATTAGAGCGGAGAATCATTGTGTCCGAATGTCAAGCGCGCGTTTTCGAACGTTTGCTAAATTCGCTGAGAATAGACGGCTTATTAT